GAGGAAGTCACTAAAATCATCCTGCATACAAAGGGAGGAGAATTAGACCCCATCTTTTGGTGAGAGGGCTGTCAAGATTCTCCAAGAACGTGCAGAATCGGAAATACTGCTGTGGCCATTTGGGTCCCAGGAAGAGCAGCAGTGCCTGAGGCTGGAGCCACTGGACATGCACTGGGATCTCGGGGATAATGGCTAGGCCCATGAGTACTCACCAGCTCCAGGAGCACAAAGACTGTCACCCCTCCTGTTTGCATCCTGAATGTCCCCCAGAGGTCAAGGGTTGACAGTTGGGACTCCATTGTAGCAGTGTTCAGAGGTAGGACCTTGGGGAGGTTACTGGGTCAGCAGGGCGCTGGTCTCGAGTGGTTCCACCAGTTAGCGCCTCTGAGCTGAAGGGATTATTGGGAAATGGCACGGCCTAGATGGACAAAGTAATTGCTCTGTGCATGCTCTCAAAGGGATATTTTGTCCCCAGCTTCTCTCTCTCTCTCTCTCTCTCTCTCTCTCTCTCTCTGTCTGTCTCTCTCTTTCTAGTAATCATGAGGTGAGCAAGCAACTTGAAGCTTTCTTCCATCACACATTCTCTGCCATGATGTTCTTCCTTACCAGAGGCCCAAAATGATTCAACCAAATAACCATGGACTGAAACGTCTGAAACCACGAGCTGGAATCAGTTATTTCTCCTTTGAAGCTGTTTGTCTCAGTTATTGTCACAGCCACAAAGCCAGCACAGTGAACTTGGGCCACCTCTCCATCAGCCCTTACAATGACAGATGTTCAAAGGTAAACAAGTGGCTATGACCACACGGCTATCTTTCATTTACAACTGGTGCACTCAGATCTAACAAACCCTGAGGATTTTACATTTTTCTAGGTGTGGTGGTGCAAACCTATAATCTCAGCACTCTGGAGGCTGAGGCAGGAGGATTGCTGTGAGTTCAAGACAAGCCTGGGCTACATAGTGAGTTCAAGGCCACTTTGAACTACTATACATAGCAAGACCATTTAAAAAAATCAGCTTAAGAAAAATATATCTTGGACTGCTGAAAGTAAGCACAATACTTACTAATTTGGTTTGAGCTGTTTGTACAATAAGCTTGATTACAGGAAAGTGACACTTGTGCCTTCAAGCTATGAAGAAGTCACACCTGTCATGATTTTAAGGCACTGTTTTGTGTGCCTACCTCCATCTACCCTGAACCAGATCAGACACTCTTTGGAGGGCAGGGTCCATCTTATCTGGCCTCCCCAAAGGATCTGGCAACAGGGGAAGAACAAGCAAGCTGGCTCTTTGGAAGAAACTGCAAGACCTTCATTTTTTCTATTTAAAATATTTTATATCGTCTTGACATCTTTTTATTGGTACATTTTAAATATACATACTGATACTGATGGACCAGGGATTTTTTAGCTCAGTGGTGCTGCCGCCTGCCTCGCAAGCTCAAGATCCTGAGTTCGATCCCCTGTACCAACAATAAATAAATAGACATACTGATCACATTAATCATAGGGAATTTGTCCCTATACATGATATATCTTGCTTCTTCCTTTTCTCCATTCCCCTACCTTTCCATTGACCCCCTTCCTATCCTAATTTACAAAAGCTGTTTCCATTTTTTTCTTGTATTCCCTTTTGTTTTCTTGTCCCTTCTTTCCTTTCCCTCTCCCTCTCCCTTATTCCTCTTCTCATTTGAACATTTTCATACCATTTCCCGACATCTATTATACATTTTGGTCCTTATTTACACTTTCAATTTCTCACACCAGAGAAACCATGAGATTTTTTTTTTTTCTTGTACCGGGGATCGAACTCTGGACCTTGCATTTGCAAGGCAGGCGGCAGAACCACTGAGCTAAATCCCCAGCCTGAAACCATGAGATTTTTAAACACATGTGTCCAATTTATTTCACTTAAAAGTATAGTATCAAGGTGCATCGATTTACCTAGACATGTCTCTAGTTTATTCTTCTTTATGGCTGAGTAGTACTCTATTGCATTAAAAAACCCACATCTTCTTTATCCATTCATTAGTTGATGGGCATTTGGGCTCTTCCAAGATTTAAGTATTAAAACTGCCACTAGCTGGGCATGGTGGTGCATGCCTACAATCCCAGCGCTTGGGAGGCTGAAGCAGGAGGATCACTGTGAGTTCAAGACCAGCCTGGGCTACATAGTGAGTTCCAGGTCAGTCCCAACTGCACAGTGAGACCCTGTCTCAAAAAACCAAAAAATAAAATAAAAAATAAAAACTGCTACTATAAACATAGGCGTGCATGTATCACTGTGGTATGATACTTTTTAATTCTTTCATGAAGACGGCAAGGGGAATAGTTGGGTTGAATGGAACCTCTGTTTTAGTTTTTTGAGGAATCTCCACACTGATTTCCACAGTGGTTGCACCAATCTACACTCCCACCAACAGTGGAGAAGTGGTCCTTTTTCCCTCCAGGCCCTCCCCCAACATTTGTTATTGGTTGATTTCTTGGTAACAGCCAGGTTCCTGTCCTGTCACATGAAGTACTGTTTTCTATCATTTGACTCTCAGTTTATGAATTTCTTTTTGAATTAAATGTGTTCCTTGCATGCAGTATATTGTTGGGTATTGCTTCCCCCCCACCTTTTTTTTTGAGATAGTGTTTTGCTATGTAGTTCAGTCTGGTGTTAAATTCACTGTGTAGCCCAGCCCGGCCTTTAACTCACAATCCTCCTGCCTCAGCCTCCCGAGTGCTGGGATTATAGGCTTTTGCCATGATACCCGGCCTAAGTCTGCTGTGATTCTGATGGGCTTTCCTTTATAGGTGATTTATTTATTTTCTGTTCTTGTATTGAATTTCTGGAATTTTGACTATTATATGCCTTAGTGTTGGGGTTTTTTGTTTTTGTTTTTTTTTGTCATGGTTAATTGGAGTTCTATAAGTCTCACTTATCTGCGTGTCAAATTCTTTTTCCGTGCTTAGGAAGTTTCCTGACATTACTTCTGTGAAGAGGATTTTTATGTCTTTTGTGCTTTTATTTATGTCCTGTTTTTTTCTTGATTCCAATCAATGTTAGTTATTCTTCTTTGTATTATCTAGCCACTGACTGATTTTTTTTCATGGTCCCTTGCTATTTTTTAGAAATCTTTCTTTTCATGATCGCTAATTTCAATCCTACCTTCTGTATCTGATATTCTGTCCTCACATTGACTCATTCTGCTGTATATACTTTCAATGGAATTTTTAATCTCCTGGATATGTTTGAATCTGTTTCATGTAATCCATTTCATTCCTATGTTGGACATTCATTGTTTCCCTCATTTTCCTAAGCTCCTCTATTTTTTTTTTATCTTTATCTGTTCTAGAGTCACTGTCCATGTCTTTCATTATGGTCACCATCTTTGTACTTATCTGAGAGAGTATTTTTGATTAGATGTTTTCTAGAGCTTTATGCATCTGCCTTGTTACTTTTGCTGTTACCACTTCAGAGAGTCCAGGGGTCAGCTTTCAAATTTGCCCAGCTCATTGCCCTCTGGTTTTACCTTTGGCAAGTTGGAAATCTGGGGTTGCATCTTGCTTAAGTGTCTTCTCATTTTCTCTTCTTCCTTTTTAGTTTTATTCCTGGGTTGATGCTTGTAAATTGCTTATGGCAGGTAGCTTATCACCAGTATTTAGAATTCTTAGGAAATGACTGCTTCTCAGAGATCTTTTCCAGGTGTAGCTGCCTTTGCGGTTTTGAGTCTGTTGCAAGATTCTACCTCTTTAATTTATTGGGGATGAGAAGTTGCCTATTTGGCCTAGCCCCTGGTTCTTTGGCAATGGCCTAGATAGTATTGTTTATGACCCTGAGTCAATCTCAATCTTGGCATACCAGGAAGAACAACTGATTAGAACAATTATGCCACCTTGGTGAAAGTGGTACAATCAGCAATAACAATACCATCAAACACAGTCTAGAAAATGACAAACTGTGGTAACTATTAATTTCCACCTTTAACCATATGAATTAGATTTATGGTTATATAACAAAATCTAAAACATACCAGAAAACTATATACAGTAAATATACCCTCAGTGTGGCAACTTTACCCTCAGGGAGAAAATTTTTTAAAGATTAGATGGAAAATGCAGAGAAATAGAAAAAGATGAATAGATTAGGAGCAAAGCTGGAGGACAAAAGAAGATTACACAACCTTTGGGAAAGTGGTGCAAAAGACAGGAAAAAGAGAAGGAAGAAATAAAAACAAGAGCAGAACAGAATAACAACAAAGCTAGAAACAATGTTCATACTCATATGAAAACAGGAACAATCAAGAAAAGAAGAAAACACAAAACCAAAACAAGGGAAGAAAAAAAAAGAAAATAATGTCCACTTCAAGGTGTGTCTCTGCTGTCACTGGTAGACAAAGTGGGCAGACAGAATCCACTTCTATGTTGATTAATCCCAAAAAGTCAGTCATAGATTTATGGTGGGGTAGTGGATAATTCCAGTTACCCTGAATCTTTTGTTCCACTGAAGTTCAGGCTGATTTCTGGCTGTGAGGCTAGAACCCAATTTGTTCATCCTGTAACACTGTGTGTGCCTCCTAATGG